TAGTGGTCTAGTTTCCTTTTGAAAACTTCAATACTTGTTCCATCAATATTTCTGACATTTTTGGAACTGGTCATGAGCAGTCTAGGACCACGAATGTTGACACTGTTCTCTTATTGTGCCTCTGGTGCCCCTGCTTTCCACTGGATCTGTTTTACATTTTCACCCATATCTCTCACTCCAGTATGCTTGTATACATTTCTGCTGTATAGTCCTTGTGGCTTAGCGCTTCTTTTTGATTATAATAATAATAATAATTGTATACATTTCTAACATGGCCCTCAAGTATCTTGCATTCATGTTATCAGATTCTCTCTCTCTCTCTCTTTGCTCTGAGGAGTACATTGGGTCCTTCCCAGTACAGTACTTTGGGTCATTTCCAGTATAGTACTTTGGGTTATTCCCAGTACAATGCTCTGGATCATTCCCAGTATAGTGTACTTTGTTTTAATGACTCTGTATGGGCAGTAAATGATCTCTGCATCTGTTCAGGCTCTGGTATCTCTCCTACCATGAATGAAGCCAGTGAAACTGAACACTACTACACAAGAGAGCACAGGTGAATTGAATAGTGCCACCATTGGCATTATTTATCTTTTTTACAATGTTCTCACTCTCAGTATCCACCCCTGTCATTTCTCTGGCTTTTGCAGTAATTGACCTATTGTGCTCTCTAAATGATCGGTCCTCCGACATTATTATACCCAAGTCGTTTAGTTGTTCCTGTCATTTTATGATATGATACTCTGTGTCCTTCAGAGGGCATACATTTCCTACCTATATACTGTGAACTTGAGGACCAGAACATCGAGGAAGAGTACTTGGTTAAGTCTCTCACATTCTGTTACAGTGCTAGTCATGGTATTATGCCGGGTGAGCGCCCCAGCATGATGCTGTGATGAAAATCAAAGGCCTACCATACAGGGGGTCCTTTCCCATCAGTGCATTTATGCTGGGTAGCAGCCATTAGCATGACGTCACAGCCTGCTGCCACACTCCACAGTGATTCCTCAGTGCTCACATGACTGCCGTGGTGAGAGGAAGTGTTGCACTTTTGTCACTCATTCACCCCATCTTTTGTCGGGTGTTCCCTTTGGTTTTGGGGCTATACATGTTTGATTATGAGTAAAAGGTAGTCTTCAATACTTGAAACTATAGCTCAAATCATAGGGCTTCACAAAGCTGGGCAACAGATGAAAGAAATAGTGGAGAACGTTGGTGTGTGTGAGCGTTCAATGAGGAACTGGGTGCAGCGTTTCAAGGCTGGTGGCGGTGTCGAGTTACCATCTGCCAAACCCCGGCCTGGCCCCTCGAAGAAAACATCTGTTCGTACCTTAACTGTGTTAAAGAAGCAGTTAGAGAGTGCACCTAAGATAACTGCTAGAGAATTAAAAGAAAAGAACCCACATCTTCTCTCAGAGGTGTCTGTAAGAACTGTTAACATACGTGTGTCAGAACTGGGCTACAGTAGTCACCACTAGGTTAAGAAACCAATCCTCTCCAAGCCACAGAAGAAATGTAGGCTGGATTATGCAAAGAGATATATTCACTGGAATCCTCAACAGTGGTCTGAAGTACTTTGGAGTGATGAAGCAACCTTCACCGTCACCTGTAACCGTGGAGGACATGTGTACTGGCCCAGAGGTAGTGACCTGCTAGACTCATGCCACACCTGTGGGACCACCAAACACCCAGATTTGCTCATGGTTTGGGGGGTGTTTCAGTGCTCAATGTTGGTGAACTCATTGTGCTTCCCAAGAACCAGTATATGAACCTGTATAATTACCTGGAGTTATTGTATGACAATTTACCTGAGGCGTTTGACAAGTGTGGGGCTACAGTTTTTATGCAGGACGGTGCACTGTGTCATACTGCCAAATCTGTAGTTCACTGGCTTAAGGACTGTGAAGTGAGGCTCTTTAATGACTGGCCAGGCAATTCCTCAGACTTAAACCCTTTTGAGAACCTCTGGTCAGTAGTGAAACGAAGTTTACTGAGCAAGGATATCAGTTCCATCCCGTGGCTGGAGGCTGCTCTGCATGAGGGATGGAATAATATACCTCCCCAAACCCTCAAGAATTTGTGTGAGAGTCTTCCTACATGGCTGAGGGACGTGATTAAGCGTAAAGGACGCAGCACCAAGTATTAAAACCTCAGTAAGTGTGCAAATTTATATACGTGTATTATAATCTTTCGTGGTATGTGTTTGTGTTTTGATACGTGTGTGTGGGGGCGGGGTGGCATAATGCCATGACTAGCTATAGGTGGTTTAATATCTGAAATTACCCCACTTTTTTGTCCTAAACTGTAAATACGTTATCTACCTATCATACATGGAATATAATTGATGACATATTTAGTGTCAGAGAGAGTGGAGTAATTTAGGTTGTTGGGGTAGGAAAACCCTTGTAATTTGGTCACAGGCATATCACATGTCACTAGCCCCAGTCATCATATTTAATGTGAAATGTGATAAACTAAACCAAAATACCTTTCCTTGATGTGGTGATTATTGTAAGAGAGTGATAGACTTAAGATTACAGCATAAGGGAACCTCTGGACCCCATTAATTGTAAGCATTACTTCAGTCACCACAAGACCCAGATAAAGAGAGTTGCAGTATTCTGGGTCTTCCTAAGAGCTTTGAGGACTTGTGGCCCCAATCTACTACACCAAGAGAAGACAGCTATCTAAGAACAGTTTTCTAAACTTGGTCACCAAGATGGGTTTATACAAACAGTACTAGATAAAGGTGGAAAAAGTCACAATTGCTTTGTAATGTGATCCTTTATTGGTGATGTTTTGCCCACACAGTGAGCATTATCAAGTCACAAACAGGGAAGCCCAGAGAGGGAGGGTGATTATATATAAATGAGCATAGGGATCAGCTCAGCTATACTGTAGAAGCCACTGTTCTGGTTGAAATTGTTGAATGTCTTGATTAGTGCGGATTCTAGGATACTGCATCTCTGGGTGTCTCCTTCCTTGACAGTACGTAGTTCTCCCATGTAAGTAATCAAGTGTTTATACCTGGAGGGTGTTTTGGGGATCAATACCCCTGCAGCCCAATCTGTGACCAGGCCTTGTGGCGAATCAGGACCTGATCAACCAGGCTATGTTGCTGGCCACACATAAACCAACGTATGAATCATAGCCCGGCTTGTCAGGTACTGACTTTAGTTGTCTGTCCAGCTCCCTCTTGAAGACAGTTAGGGGTTGGTGGGATTTTGTGTGAAATGCAGGCATTACCCAAGCCATTAATTGTACCGATGTATTGGTGTTCAGAAATGCATTCCAAACCTCTAACAGACATACAGAATGATCATCTATGTAACAACTAGATAACAGCTTAATACCTTGCATGAATTATCATATTCAAGAATGAGGTTGATGACTAACTGCATAATATTGTACAAGAGTCATGAGTCTAGTAACTCAGCCACAGGTAGTGGGACTAGAACATAAATCATAGTTATAATAATAATACAGCCTCTCCTCACTTAACGATGGAGTTCCATTCCTGAGACCTTGTTGGTAAACAAAATCGTCGCTAAGTGAGGAGTATACTATTGTGGTAGTGGGTTTGTGTCAACCATCTTTGATATTGTTTTAATGTTACCTTTGCATCATTTATAACATTTCTGGTATACAGCCTCTCCTCATTTACCGATGACTTAGGCTTACGACAGGCTCTCTGACTAATATTCATACCTAAATAATGTACGTATATTAGAGCTGATTTCCTCTATTCCATTTATTACAATATACGGTTACTGTATAAACACTTAAAAATATACCAGAAATTCTATAAATAGTGCAAAGGTGATATTAAAACAATATAAAAATTGGTTGACACAAACCCACTACCATTATAGTATGCTCCTCACTTACCGACGAATTTGTCTAACGATGAGATCTTAGGAATGGAACTCTGTCATTAAGTGAGGAGAGGCTATATTTTTAAATGTTTATACAGTAGTGTACTGCATATTGTAATAAACAGAACAGAGGAAATCAACTCTAATATACATTATTTAGGTATGCATACTGGTCAGAGAGCCCGTCGTGAGTCCGAGTCGTCAGTAAGTGAGGAGAGGATGTATAATAGTAATAATAATAATAATAATAATAATAATATAATGCCTTTATTTCTACAAGTACATGTACATCAATGACATACTACTACACAGAAAGCTGCTTGTTATGCAGAGCATTTTGGGCAAATTAGGTCAGTTTTGTCCCAGGATGCAACCCACACCAGTCGACTAACACCCATATACCCATTTTACTGATGGGGAACAAAGACAACTGGTGTAAAGAAACACACCCAGTGTTTCTACCCTCGCTGGGAATCAAACCTGGACCCTCGCCATGTGAAGCGAGATCTTTAGCCACCAGGCCACTGGGGCACCGTATGAAAACTTTTAGAGCCTAAGAGAGTACAGTTTATATATCATTCTTGGATATATTCCAGGGAGTACAGCTTGTAGCTTCTGTTAATAACAGAGACTATTTGAAGACAGCACAAAAATGTTACTTGTGTGTCCCACAGCCTGGCTGCAGCAGTACGAAACCCTTCAAAGGTGTATCAAGTTTTCACTTAGTAATAATGGTTGAATTACTGACAAAATGGACACATGCAACTAATGTGGCATTTTATTGTGGCAACGTTTCATTCTCTAGGAGCTTTTGTCAAGCCTATAACAGCTTGACAAAGCCCCTGGAGAGTGAAACGCTGCCACAATAAAATGTCACATTAATTGCATCTGTGTCCATTTACCTAAGAAGTTTTCACTTCCATGATGATTTATTAAAAGCAATATATATTTTATAAGTTTCAAGTGAAGCTAATTTAATGACTTTTCCTACTTTATATCTTTTTTTTTTTTTTCTTAATAGAAGTTAGAGGGGGGACATACTGTATATGATTCACAAAATTTTGTTAAAAATTAATATTTTCATATTAGCTTGCTCACAGTTTATTTTGTTGTTGACGACTGCAGGAGTCAGACAACTTGTGGTGGGATGCCTTTGCCACGGAGTTCTTCGAGGACGACGCTACCCTTACCCTCACCTTCTGCCTTGAGGATGGACCCAAAAGATATAGTAAGTGGTTAACCCCATGTTTACTTGGTCACTTCTCTCTTTACTACAGTGTTACCTCACATACAATGTTACCTCACATACAGTGTTACCTTCACGTGCAGTCTTACCATCACATACAATGTTACCTTCACATACAGTGTTACCTTCACATACAATGTTACCTTCACATACAATGTTACCTTCACATACAGTGTTACCTTAACATACAATGTTACCTTTACATACAATGTTACCTTCACATACAATGTTACCTTCACATACAATGTTACCTTCACATACAGTGTTACCTTAACATACAATGTTACTTTCACATACAGTGTTAATCTTCACATACAGTGTTAACCTTCACATACAGTGTTAACCTTCACATACAGTGTTAATCTTCACATACAATGTTAATCTTCACATACAGTGTTAACCTTCACATACAGTGTTAACCTTCACATACAGTGGTAATCTTCACATACAGTGTTAACCTTCACATACAGTGTTAACCTTCACATACAGTGGTAATCTTCACATACAGTGGTAATCTTCACATACAGTGTTAATCTTCACATGCAGTGTTAACCTTCACATACAGTGGTAATCTTCACATACAGTGTTAATCTTCACATACAGTGTTAACCTTCACATACAGTGGTAATCTTCACATACAGTGTTAATCTTCACATACAGTGTTAACCTTCACATTCAATGTTAACCTTCACATACAGTGTTAACCTTCACATACAGTGGTAATCTTCACATACAGTGTTAACCTTCACATACAGTGGTAATCTTCACATACAGTGTTAACCTTCACATTCAATGTTAACCTTCACATTCAGTGTTAACCTTCACATTCAGTGTTAACCTTCACATACAATGTTACCTTCCCTGTGACATTCCTTGTGTGTTACCTGGAGGTTATTCCGGGGATCAACGCCCCCGCGGCCCGGTCCATGACCAGGCCTCCCGATGGATCAGGGCCTGATCAACTAGGCTGTTACTGCTGGCCGCACGCAGTCCAACGTACGAGCCACAGCCCGACTGATCCGGCACTGACTTTAGGTATCTGTCCAGCTCTCTCTTGAAGACAGCCAGGGGTTTATTGGCAATTCCCCTAATGCTTGATGGGAGGCTGTTAAACAGTTTTGGGCCCCGGACACTTATGGTGTTTTCCCTTAATGTACCAATGGCGCCCCTATTTTTTATTGGGGGCATTTTGCATCGCCTGCCCAGTCTTTTACTTTTGTAGGGAGTGATTTCTGTGTGCAGATTTGGGACCATTCCTTCCAAGATTTTCCAAGTGTAGATTATGATATATCTCTCCCTCCTGCGTTCCAACGAGTACAAGTCAAGTGCTTCCAAGCGTTCCCAGTAGTTAAGGTGCTTGACAGAACTTATACGTGCAGTAAAGGATCTCTGTACACTCTCTAGATCTGCAATTTCACCTGCTTTCAACGGAGATGTTAATGTACAGCAGTATTCCAGCCTAGAGAGAACAAGTGCTGTCTATTACTTTCTTTGCTACTTCAGTCCTCATTACTCTCCCTGTTTCTATCTTCATTACTTTTCTTTCTTTTATTCTCATTATTTTCCTTGTTAATGTCTTCATTATTTTCCTTGTTTCTGTCTTCATTATTTTCCTTGTTTCTATCTTCATTATATTCCTTGTTTCTATCTTCATTATTTTCCTTGTTTCAGTCTTCATTATTTTCCTTGTTTCTATCTTTCATTATTTTCCTTGTTTCAGTCTTCATTATTTTCCTTGTTTCAGTCTTCATTATTTTCCTTGTTTCAGTCTTCATTATTTTCCTTGTTTCTATCTTCATTATTTTCCTTGTTTCAGTCTTCATTATTTTCCTTGTTTCAGTCTTCATTATTTTCCTTGTTTCTATCTTCATTATTTTCCTTGTTTCTATCTTCATTATTTTCCTTGTTTCTATCTTTCATTATTTTCCTTGTTTCAGTCTTCATTATTTTCCTTGTTTCTATCTTCATTATTTTCCTTGTTTCTATCTTCATTATTTTCCTTGTTTCTATCTTCATTATTTTCCTTGTTTCTATCTTCATTATATTCCTTGTTTCTATCTTCATTATTTTCCTTGTTTCAGTCTTCATTATTTTCCTTGTTTCCATCTTTCATTATTTTCCTTGTTTCAGTCTTCATTATTTTCCTTGTTTCAGTCTTCATTATTTTCCTTGTTTCTATCTTCATTATTTTCCTTGTTTCTATCTTTCATTATTTTCCTTGTTTCAGTCTTCATTATTTTCCTTGTTTCTATCTTCATTATTTTCCTTGTTTTTATCTTTCATTATTGTCCTTGTTTCAATCTTCATTATTTTCTTTGTTTCAGTCTTCATTATATTCCTTGTTTCTATCTTTCATTATTTTCCTTGTTTCTATCTTCATTATTTTCCTTGTTTCTATCTTTCATTATTTTCCTTGTTTCAGTCTTCATTATTTTCCTTGTTTCAGTCTTCATTATATTCCTTGTTTCTATCTTTCATTATTTTCCTTGTTTCTATCTTCATTATTTCCTTGTTTCTATCTTTCATTATTTTCCTTGTTTCAGTCTTCATTATTTTCCTTGTTTCAGTCTTCATTATTTTCCTTGTTTCTATCTTCATTATTTTCCTTGTTTCAGTCTTCATTATTTTCCTTGTTTCTATCTTCATTATTTTCCTTGTTGCTATCTTCATTATTTTCCTTGTTTTATTCTTCATTATTTTCCTTGTTTCAGGCTTCATTATTTTCCTTGTTTCAGTCTTCATTATTTTCCTTGTTGCTATCTTCATTATTTTCCTTGTTTCAGTCTTCATTATTTTCCTTGTTTCTATCTTCATTATTTTCCTTGTTTCAGTCTTCATTATTTTCCTTGTTTCTATCTTCATTATTTTCCTTGTTGCTATCTTCATTATTTTCCTTGTTTTATTCTTCATTATTTTCCTTGTTTCTACATTATTTTCTTTGTTTCAGTCTTCATTATTTTCCTTGTTTCAGTCTTCATTATTTTCCTTGTTTCTATCTTCATTATTTTCCTTGTTTCAGTCTTCATTATTTTCCTTGTTTCAGTCTTCATTATTTTCCTTGTTTCTATCTTCATTATTTTCCTTGTTTCAGTCTTCATTATTTTCCTTGTTTCAGTCTTCATTATTTTCCTTGTTTCAGTCTTCATTATTTTCCTTGTTTCTATCTTCATTATTTTCCTTGTTTCTATCTTCATTATTTTCCTTGTTTCAGTCTTCATTATTTTACTTGTTTCTATCTTCATTATTTTCCTTGTTTCAGTCTTCATTATTTTCCTTGTTTCTATCTTCATTATTTTCCTTGTTTCAATCTTCATTATTTTCCTTGTTTCTATCTTCATTATTTTCCTTGTTTCAGTCTTCATTATTTTCCTTGTTTCAGTCTTCATTATTTTCCTTGTTTCTATCTTCATTATTTTCCTTGTTTCAGTCTTCATTATTTTCCTTGTTTCTATCTTCATTATTTTCCTTGTTTCAGTCTTCATTATTTTCCTTGTTTCAGTCTTCATTATTTTCCATGTTTCTATCTTCATTATTTTCCTTGTTTTATTCTTCATTAAAGTAAAAACTTGATTTATTAGACCCAGATTAACAAATTTTGGATTTACTGTAATGGACAATCAGTCACTCAATTATTTTTTTTTTTAACACATTGGCCGTTTCCCACCAAGGTAGGGTGGCCCGAAAAAAACTTTCACCATCATTCACTCCATCACTGTCTTGCCAGAGGTGCACTTGCACTATAGTTATAAAACTGAATAACATTACATCTCTCACATGGAAAGTCCCTTAGTTATGCAGAACATTTCAGGCAAGATTAAATTTAACTTGTGTCTAGAGGGACTGTAGTATTTTACCTATATGTATATAAGACAGTAATAATTTTTACATTAAAATAGATTACATGATTATTAAACAATTGTATATGAAGCCAAACTTGAGTCATGGAGGTGGGGAAGTACAGTGCATGCACTCTAAAGGAGGGGTTTGGGATATTTACTGTTTAAAGAGACATCTGAACTGTCAGATCTGTGCACCTCTGGCAAGACAGTGACAGTTTGAATGATGTTGAAAGTGTTTCTTTTTTGGGTCGCCGTGTCTTAGTGACACAAATCACTTAGATATCCCTCGTGTCCATCTCTCCCTATGCAAAAATGCCGTGCATGTAAAAGACCTGAAGATCTGGAATTCATTGCCAGAACACACTAAAGGACCCTGTCTGCAAATCAGTTTAAGACCCTACTAAGAAATCACCTTATCACTCAAAATTAACCAGACAAACCGTATCTAATCACTACCAGTTACTCAAAAGCTACTCGCATTGTGCTGATGAATGCTCAACCACTTACTCACTACTTCAAAATTAGGATGTCTAAATTTCATTGTTTTAAATAGTGCTAAATTGTAATACATCATAATGTAAATTTTTTTAAACTGTTCCATTGTAATGCCAGATTTCATTGTTTGAAATAGTACTAAACTGTAATACATCATATTGTAAATTGTTTTAACGTGTTCTATTGTATTACTGTAATCTTTATAAACTAATTCGATAGTGTAATAATTCTCTGCTAGACTTGTCAAAGCCATGTAGCATTAGCTGATAGAATATTCAAGTCTCTTGTACTCACTGTAACTCATGTAATGACCATATGAACTGTTATTGCCTTCCTGGTCTTAAGCTGATCTTTAAGTTTGCCTGAAATGCTCTGCATACAAAGGGGCTTTTGGCATGTACACCCAACTGTTATATTCCTCTGTACAACCATGTATCATATCAAAATAAACATCTTAATCTTAAAAAAAAATCATGAGTTACATGGGCTGTGACAAGGCAGAGCCATTTTCAAATCTGAAAAATAAAAATAAGGGATGTAGATAGATAACAGTTCAATTTGTGTTTCTCCATGCCTGTGGGAGGCACAAGAAATAAAAAAAAGTTTTTTGTCACAGAGATGATTCAGTATCTTCTAACTGAAGAGAAAAGTCTGCAAGAAGACTTGGACAGGATTCAGGAATGATAGGATGAGTGGTTAATAGCCAAGTTATAAAAGCTGTGATGTGAGTAAGGAAGAGCAAAGACAGTATCATTTGAGAGGCTGGAGAAAGATACATAAACAAAGAAATTGACCTTGTAATAATTATTACATAAAGCCAGTCCCTGGAAGCATACATAACAGAATAACATTGCAGGCTAAGCTTGCAAACATAAGACTGGTTAAATAAAACATAAGACTCATTAAATCAAATGCTTGTCTAGGACATTACATGAACTAAGTATTTTCTCTCTTTTTTTTTTTTCCCCCCCCTGCAGCAATTGGGCGAACCCTCATACCTCGGTACTTTAGGAGCATCTTCGAAGGAGGTGTTACGGAGCTTTATTATTCCTTAAAACACCCTAAAGAATCGTTCCACAACACCTCCATCACCCTCGACTGTGACCAGTGCACCATGGTTACGCATCATGGCAAACCTATGTACACTAAGGTGAGACAACACACAATTGTTTACAAGTGCTATTAGTTTAGTAAATTTAACTTTTTTATTAACCTGTAAACAGTCCAAACGTAGATCTACGCTCATGTGCGTAGTGCTCCAATCGGAGATCTAATTTTTTTTTCATAAGAGAGCATGAAAATGTCTATATTAACCTAAAATATTAACATAAAATAATGTGCCCAAGAGTGATTATTATTAAACATACATGTTTTTCTTATATAATTTTGAAGAAAATATCATAGATGGATTAATGAAAATGTCTATATTAACTCAAAAGGAGACATTTCATGTGCCCAGGAGTGAGTCACGAACATATGAGCAGCCCAGGCACACACGTCTGGTACTGACGATTTCTGAGTGGATGTACAAAACCCGGGGGGAAATTTTACCAAAAAATGCTCGAAATCCGAATTGTATAATTTCTGCACCAGATGAAAACCAGGGGTCCGCTGGACTGACAGGGCAAGCTGGTGACTGATAACAGTGATTGTGGTGGAGCGAGATGAGATTGTTTTGTTACGATTGTAACAATGATGGGCAGTTCTGTAACCAATGGACTTTGTCTATTGTTTTTATATCTGACCCAGCAGATTTTATCTTGTATTTCAGAAGTTTGATGCTGAAATAAACCTAATGAAAAACAGGGGTGCTATATGCACAAGAGAAAACTGTCAGCATCAGTGGACCAAGACTCTTCAAACTGCTACCAGCAGTTATCACATACAGTGGTACCTCAGGATACGAACTTAATTTGTTCCAGAAGGCTAATAACGAGATACCAAACGAATTTGTTCCCATAAGGAATAATGTAAATTAGATTAATCTGTTTCAGACCCCCCAAAAATACACTTACAAAAGCACTCACATAAATACACTTACATAATTGTTTGCATTTTGAGCTGTACGTATCCCGAAGTACCAATACTATATTGCTTTAACAAATTCTAGAGATCTTCAGGAGGAAACTGGATCACTACCTCTGTCAAGTACCAGATCATCTAGGCTGTGATGGTTATTTGGGCCAGCAAGCCACTAGCAGCAACAGTCTGACTGAACAGGCACTTGACAAGGAAGCTTGACTAACTTCTTGGTTCGTAGGGTAGAGAAAGCTCTTGAAATCAGTCACAGGCATTTCACAAGTGTTTTATCAGTAAAAACTAGGAAATTATGATAAAATTTTAATATATATTATAGAAAGTTTGCTCCATTTATGGTAAAATGGCTCTTTTTTTGCATTTATATTAATATATGTATTGTAATAAAGTTGGTAGAATTACCGACAATATGTAAAGTAAAAGGACACAAGTGCAACTAATGTGACATTTATTGTGGCAACGTTTCGCTCTCCAGGAGCTTTATCAAGCTCCTGGAGAGCGAAACGTTGCCACAATAAATGTCACATTAGTTGCACTTGTGTCCTTTTACTTTAAATATATGTATTGTTTTCAATTGAGCTTTTTTTTTAACCTGCTTTTAACATTTGTTAAAACAATAATATGTGGTACTCAGTATTCATGTTTGTATTAGAGTATGTACAGTATGTTGCTTTAACAAATAAAGGAATGCCTTTTATTTATTACACATTAAGTAATTTTTTTAAAACACTCGAGCAGTGTTTTTCTTTATTATTCCACACAGTGATTAGTATATTTTATTGTCAATTTTTTGTTAACTATCATACCTATGAATTACATCTTTTGTTGACAACTTACCATTTGAATTCTCTAGTATTGCACCATATAACTCTTCTCAAATTTATCTAATGAGAAGTCAGCTTGTGACTGAAACATTTTTATCTGATATTGTGTAATTTTTGTGCAATGTATTTTTTTATTCTGTGTTATTATTAAAGTGTCATTGAAAATATTGTTCCTCTCACTGTTACAGGTCTGTGCAGATGGTAGACTAATATTAGAGTTCACATTTGATGACCTGATGCGCATCAAGTCGTGGCATTTTGCCGTCCGTGCCCACCGTGAGCTCATCCCTCGGTCTGTGGTTGCCATGCACTCTCAACAGGACCCGGGTATGGTTGAAACGTTAAGCAAAAACATCACGCGGCAGGGCATCACCAGCCACACCTTAAACTACCTCAGGGTCAGTAACTAAAATTAACATCAATCTATAAATCTTTCTTGAATTGTGCATCCATGACAATTGACTTATCTATATATCTATCTGACTGTGATACTTATTTCTTTGGACACTCTTCTTAGAAGGAATGACCTATAGATTCCTCTCCAGTCACATTAATCACCTTCACTTATTAAAGTTTTGTAAAGCAAACCCTGATATATATTATTGAATAAATGTGTATGCTGGGGTGACTGTTATAGTTCTGAAGCAGCTACATGTCTCTTGACCTCTTACCTACTACCCCACATCCCACATCTGCAGATTTTTGATAACAGTGCGAGAAATAAATTACAGCATTTACGGCAGTGTTCTACCTCTTACAACTGCTAGACCGCTATGATATTGTTATGGATGCACTGTGAAGACAAGCAAAATGCTGATGTAACTTAGATAACATTTGTGGAAGCTTTCAACAAGAACAATTGTGGTATAATAGCTATCAAAGTAATGAACTAATAGGTGGGAGGGGGGTATCCGTTTAAACAAAAATTTGTTGTATTGAAATGCCAGTGCAACAGACATGGTTTGTTGTATGGGGAGTCAGCTGGACATGCACTACTGCTAACAGACAACATCTTGATGCTACAGACTTAGTCTGATGTATCAAACATTTGTCCAGTCAAAATTTTTGTGTTATATCTGAAATTTGTTACATAGGGGTCTCTAATATCAAGATTATTAGCATATGTCGAAAGGGATAACCTAAAAATTGGCAAAATTGATCTGTAGTTTTCTGACAAATTGAATGATAAAGATTAGTACTCAGATTTGTAACATTACTCTTTACTTTTTTCAGAGAAAAATATAAAACATTTTAATTTACTATACAACAAATAATATTTTGACATTTATAATTATTTCATCTTCGTCCTTTCTCACTGGTGTTGGCTGCCTACGAAACAGTATCCTCATTTATCATGCACATTTTATTTTCTCATTAGTGTGTTGATGCATCTCTTTAACATGCATCCTCTGGAAGCCTTTTTTGTTTATGCTGCATTCAGTCACCTCTCTATGTCTTTTATTTACTGGCTGTATATATCTTTTCTCTCCCAGTACTACCTGTCACATATCCTTGCAGCTTCACACAATTTGTGTTATTTACATTTATTAACACATCGGCCGATTCCCATCAAGGCAGGGTGGCCCGTAAAAGAAAAACTTCCATCATCATTCACTCCATCACTGTCTTGCCAGAGGGGTGCTTTACACTACAATTATAAAACTGCAACATTAACACCCCTCCTTCAGAGTGTAGACACTGTACTTCCCATCTCCAGGACTCAAGTCCAGCCTGCCGGTTTCCTTTAATCCCTTCATAAATGTTACTTTGCTCACACTCCAACAGCACATCAAGTATTAAAAACCATTTGTCTCCATTCACTCCTATCAAATACGCTCATGCACGCTTGCTGGAAGTCCAAGCCCCTCGCACACAAAACCTCTTTTACCCCCTCCCTCTAACCCTTCCTAGGCTGACCCCTACCTTGCCTTCCCTCCACTACAGATTGATACACTCTCGAAGCCATTCTGTTTATCCCATCAATTATCTTTATCCCATCAATCCCAGCTGCCTTATCCCCTTTCATTCTACCCACTGCCTCATGAACTTCCCCCACACTCACAACTGGCTCTTCCTCACTCCTACAAGATGTTATTCCTCCTTGCCCTATACACGAAATCACAGCTTCCCTATCTTCTTCAACATTTAACAATTCCCCAAAATATTCCCTCCATCTTCCTGATACCTCTAATTTTCCATTTAATAACTCTCCTCTCCTATTTTTAATTGTCAAATCCATTTGTTTATGTGTACTCTTTATATCATTGATATCTTTCACATATATATTAAAGTAATGTAGTATTAATAATGTTCATAACTTGCAGTTCTTTTTTCAACCATATATTATGCCTTTTTTTTTTTTTTTGGTAAACTGCTTTTATCTTATTACACTGTTTGTATGCCAGTGTTCAGTTATCTGATAACAACATTTGTATGGCAGTGTTCAGTTATCTGATAACAACATTTGTATGCCAGTGTTCAGTTATCTGATAACAAAATTTGTATGCCAGTGTTTAGTTATCTGATAACATTTGTATGCCAGTGTTCAGTTATCTGATAACAACATTTGTATGCCAGTGTTCAGTTATCTGATAACAGCATTTGTATGCTAGTGTTCAGTTATCTGATAACAACATTTGTATGCCAGTGTTCAGTTATCTGATAACAGCATTTGTATGCTAGTATTCAGTTATCTGATAACAGCATTTGTATGCTAGTGTTCAGTTATCTGATAACAGCATTTGTATGCCAGTGTTCAGTTTTCTGATAACAGCATTTTTATGCCAGTGTTCAATTATCTGATAACAGCATTGTATCCCAGTGTTCAGTTATCTGGTAACAGCATTTGTATATTAGTATTAAGGGGGTCATACAGTGCCTGGGGAATAGTAGGTAATCAGGTTCGATCCAAGGAATGGGAGGACAAGTACAGTTCCTTGCATCAAGAGCCCCTCACCAGCATCAAGGAACCTCCCTTGAAGGGTACCTAGTAATAGCATTTGCATGCTATTACATAGCTATTTTGCATGTCATCATATATGCAAGTCACTTAAATAATTCACTGTACTGTATTGTATGGGTTAGGATGTATATGAGTTTCATTACAGCAATTCTCAATTTTCTTTTGACAGTTATGTGTGATTTTGGAACCCATGCAGGAGCTCATGTCACGACACAAAGCCTACGCGCTCTCCCCCAGAGACTGTCTCAAGACCACACTCTTTCAGAAGTGGCAAAGAATGGTTGCACCTCCAGGTAAGTTACTCATTATTTTCCTGTTGTGGGAAAGATGTCATTTATAGTTTCACCCAAAAGCTATGTGATTTATTTATTCAATTCAATACTCAAACTAAAATTGAAAAACTCTTTGCAAGCAGTAGGAATGAAGCTTGATTAATTTGTTCAATTTAAATTTTGAATAGAATAAAGTAATATAACAAAATTTGTCATTTAATGAGTTCCCAGCATGTTTAGAGGGTCATAACCAAGAACACTGTATTGGTCATTCAAGACCTCATTCACAGGTCACATGTACTGTGTGTCACCATTGCTCACAGGCACACACTTTTTCTCTTTATATATGCGATTTAGATTTTATTTTTATTCATCAATTGTATGACAGGAAATTATTTTATTTATGCTTTTTTGAAGTTCATATTTATTGCATAGATGTTTATTAACAACTTACACAGCATTCATAACAAACATTAATACATTTGATAGTAGTGTATTTTGTTTTATACACCTTACGGAATGCTAACTTGGAATGCAACAACTATGTGTATATTATTAATAAATTAGCTATGGGTAAGCAAAATACACTCAGATCTCTAGGTGTGTACCATACATTCAAACTCCTCACTTAATTGTTACAATTGAAATACAGTACTTACTGTACCGTAATGCATTTTCCCATAGTGGTTGATAGGACAAATTAGCAAACACAGCATACATATCCAGTTTATCTATATAAACAAAGTGCATTTTTATTATGAATACATAGGGTTTATATATTATTGGGATGTCTAAAGGGTTATGTCCAAGTATATATGAGTTGTGAGAGGAGACTAATGAGTGTTCATAGATATAAAAGTATAGTGTTACTCCTGCTAATGTGAGCTGCTTTTGCACAAGCTGAGGTGGTTACTGATTATAGCATTATGACAGTGACTCATGCATATTTAATTATATTCTAACAAATTAATAGCCATTCACCTGTTAAATAAATGGGAAATAACATTTAAGATAAAATACATTGAACATATATTTCTACTAAATACACTGACAGTTAACTTTAGTGAAGTGCACGTAAAATTATTCAAAGAATTAATGAGGTATCACAAAAATAAGAACACATTTGACAATATAAATTTAGTTGAAATGTTTAGGATAAATGCTACAATGGGCAGACCCTTGAACCAAGTTGAGGGAGCTTACAGAGAAACAAGGTTTTTGACCACCTATCTATCTACCCTATAACAAATGGCTACTAAAGCCAGTAACATGGCAGTTTTAAAAATAATAGAACCCCAGGGTAGATAAAATGAATATATAATCTCAAAGGCAGATATGCCACTGTCAGTATTTCATATTACACTCACTTGGGGAGAAGTTACTTTCAGTTACACTAGATACAGATACACGTAATATTACAGTAATTGAAGCATAATTAGGAACATCTGTTTTGGCTAAGGTACAGTTGTTATTTTCTGCCTCAGGTGTGATGCAAATGTTAGTGTTAAAACAAAAAGAAAACACATTGTGCCTTCTCAAAAAATATGTTAGTTTGAACAAAAGAGAAGTTGATGTCAGTGCACACTTGTGGTGTGTCGAAGCAGGAATTTTATTTATGTTTTTGTAATGTTCTTGCCAGAGACAGTGCAAATAAGATGTGTTATATAATTGGTCTTTGTATTTGATGAGTTTCTGTTATTGGTTATTATTGTAGCCTAATAGTTTTGATCTTGAGTGTTTGTTATGATTATCATTTATTTTGATACCCATTATTAGAGTACTGCATGACAAAGATTTACGCTGAGGTTGTAAATAGTGTAATGGTTATGTTTTGTTCATTGCTCTGACATTTGATTTGATTTGCTATTAACCCCTAATGCAGCCTGGCTTTTGCAATCAAAGAGGCAGCATTATGTAAATATATATTTAACAACTAATTTGATTTTCTTTTCATAAAGCTACTCTGATAACCTCTTTGGCCAGCCCCTCAGATACCCATTACTTGTTTTATGTTCACTCTTGTATTACTTGATTGTGGCTTGGCTCAGACATCTCAAGTTGCAACCTCTCCATCAAGTCAGACATTCAAAATTTATTCTCTTAATTATGTCTCCTCAATTTAAGCTTCTTTTATTTTGCTACATGTTTTGTGTTTGAGTGTGCTGATGCAAGGAGGTAGACCTGCCAGTTAGTGAGGTATTTGAGCTAAGCCACAGCAGAGTGATGTCAACCCTGTGTTGTTCTTGATGTTGATGTGATCAGCTGTGTTTTGTTTGTCATAGGTGCAGCTAATCAAGCAAATGGTAAAAATGGTGCCGATGGAGGTATGTGGTGGACTCACTTTAACACCGTTAATTGTAATGTTGATCACAACTAACCACTTAGCTGCCAGTGCCCTCTGCCACACCTCACGGCTCCTACTAACACACGACACATGTGGCTTGCCCCTAATACCTGCTCACTCACACATTAGCACTCACTTGCACATGTAACTACACCATATTGACCACTGCCAGGGTTCCATCTAACTTGTATTGATATGTAATACAATTTTTTTTTTTCAACAAACTGGCCATATCCCACCAAGGCAGGGTGGCCCAAAAAGAAAAACAAAAGTTTCTCTTTTTAAATTTAGCAATTTATACAGGAGAAGGGGTTACTAGCCCCTTGCTCCTGGCATTTTAGTCGCCTCTTACAACACGCATAGCTTACGGAGGAAGAATTCTGTTCCACTTCCCCATGGAGATAAGAGGAATTAAACAAGAATAAGAAAATAGAAGAAAACCCAAAGGGTGTGTGTGTGTGTATATATATATATATATATATATATATATATATATATATATATATATATATATATATATATATATATATATATATATATATATTTTTTTTTTTCTTCAAGTCGGCCGTCTCCCACCGAGGCAGGGTGACCCAAAAAAGAAAGAAAATCCCCCAAAAAGAAATTTTCTTCTTATTCTTTTTAGTAATGTTTACAGGAAAAGGGGTTACTAGCCCATTGTTCCTGGCATTTTAGTTGACTTTTACAACACGCATGGCTTACGGAGGAAAGATTCTTATTCCACTTCCCCATGGATATAAAAGGAAAAGTAATAAGACCAAGAACTATTAAGATAAAATCAAAGAAAACTCAGATGAGTGTGTATAAATTAACGTGTACATGTATGTGTAGTGTGACCTAAGTGTAAGTAGAAGTAGCAAGACGTACCTGTAATCTTGCATATTTATGAGACAGACAAAAGACACCAGCAATCCTACCATCATGTAAAACAATTACAGGCTTTCGTTTTACACTCACTTGGCAGGACGGTAGTACCTCCCTGGGTGGTTGCTGTCTGTCAACCTACTACCTATAATGTAATACAATATTATTATATATATATTTTTTTTCAACGAACTGGCTGTATCCCACTGAGGCAGGGCAGCCTAAAAAGAAAAACTAAAGTTTTTCTTTTTAAACTTAGTACTGTAATTTATATAGGAGAAGGGGTTACTAGCCTCTTGCTCCTGGTATTTTAGTCACCTCTTACAACACGCATGGCTTAAGGAGGAAGAATTCTGTTCCACTTTCAATGGAAAATATATACATGTATATGGATATATGCAATAAGCTCACTATAAACAGGTGATTTCAGAATATGCAAAACAACCACTGTGAAAGAATAGCGAGATTTCAAGCGCTTTCATGACTTCTCACATTATCAAGGAACTATAAAATAATACATCAAAAGAAGGCATATAAAGGGTCTAGACCACACCTCACCATCACATCCCACAACAAAGCAACACCTGACGTGCGACGACACCCAACTCATAAGAAAGGAGGAACACTGCAGCAGGTCCAACTAGACAGGTCCTTCACGACATCCCACTAACAAAATATTTTACCCAAGAATTAAGATTATTATTTGTCCATTGTATTATTAAATTCTTCCCAAATTTTATTAATTATAAATAGATCTAATTTATATAAACCAAAGGAAATATTCATATTATTTTCAAAACTGCTTTTTATGAAACAAGATTCAATAATATTCCTGTTGACCATGGACTTGCTTGATACTACTTTCTCATCTTTTTGAAAATCAGTTGGATGGTTAAAATCTCTCACATGAATAAATAGAGCATTGGAATCTTGTCCAGTTCTAATGCTATATTTATGTTGTTTTGATCTTAGTTCGAGACTTTTACCAGTTTGACCGTAATAAACTTTATCGCAAATTTTACAAGGAATCTTATAGACACATCCGTCAGCAATATGGGGGGAATTCTTTATCAAAAGTTTTTTTACTGTATCAAGAAGTCTTAAGAAGAGAAGGCATATCAACCAAGTTTTCATGGTAAGGGAGAACCAACATATTTTTAGTTGAATAAGGTTGGTTGTCAGCAACCACCCAGGGAAGTACTACCGTCCTGCCAGATGACTGTGAAACAGAAACCTGTAACTGTTTTGCATGATGGTAGGATTGCTAGTTTCTTTTTCTGTCTCATAAACACGCTAGATAACAGGGATATCTTGCTACTCCTACTTACACTTTGGTCACACTTCACAGACACGCACATGCATATATATATATACATACATCCAGCAAGCGTGCATGAGCGTGTTAGATGGGAGTGAATGGAGACAAATGATACTTGGGACCTGACGATCTGTTGGAGTGTGAGCAGGGTAATATTTAGTGAAGGGATTCAGGGAAACCGGTTATTTTCATATAGACGGACTTGAGTCCTGGAAATGGGAAGTACAATGCCTGCACTTTAAAGGAGTGGTTTGGGATATTGGCAGTTTGGAGGGATATGTTGTGTATCTTTATACGTATATGCTTCTAAACTGTTGTATTCTGAGCACCTCTGCAAAAGCAGTGATAATGTGTGAGTGTGGTGAAAGTGTTGAATGATGATGAATGTATTTTCTTTTTGGGGATTTTCTTTCTTTTTTGGGTCACCCTGCCTCAGTGGGAGACGACCGACTTGTTGAAAAAAAAAAAAAAAAAATCTAGGTTTTTCTCCTTTTTCTAAATAGTTCTTGTTCTTCTTTATTTCTTCTATTGTCCATGGGGAAGTGGAAAAGAATCTTTCCTCCGTAAGCCATGCGTGTCGTATGAGGCGACTAAAATGCCGGGAGCAATGGGCTAGTAACCCCTTCTCCTGTAGACATTTACTAAAAAAGAGAAGAAGAAAAACTTTATAAAACTGGGATGCTTGAATGTGCGTGGATGTAGTGCGGATGACAAGAAACAGATGATTGCTGATGTTACGAATGAAAAGAAGTTGGATGTCTTGGCCCTAAGCGAAACAAAGCTGAAGGGGTAGGGAAGTTTCGGTGGGGGGAAATAAATGGGATTAAATCTGGAGTATCTGAGAGAGTTAGAGCAAAGGAAGGGGCAGCAGTAATGTTGAAGGATCAGTTATGGAAGGAGAAAAGAGAATATGAATGTGTAAATTCAAGAATTATGTGGATTAAAGTAAAGGTTGGATGCGAAAAGTGGGTCATAATAAGTGTGTATGCACCTGGAGAAGAGAGGAATGTAGAGGAGAGAGAGAGAGATTTTGGGAGATGTTAAGTGAATGTATAGGAGCCTTTGAACCAAGTGAGAGAGTAATTGTGGTAGGGGACCTGAATGCTAAAGTGGGAGAAACTTTTAGAGAGGGTGTGGTAGGTAAGTTTGGGGTGCCAGGTGTAAATGATAATGGGAGCCCTTTGATTGAACTTTGTATAGAAAGGGGTTTAGTTATAGGTAATACATATTTTAAGAAAAAGAGGATAAATAAGTATACAAGATATGATGTAGGGCAAAATGACAGTAGTTTGTTGGATTATGTATTAGTAGATAAAAGACTGTTGAGTAGACTTCAGGATGTACATGTTTATAGAGGGGCCACAGATATATCAGATCACTTTCTAGTTGTAGCTACACTGAGAGTAAAAGGTAGATGGGATACAAGGAGAATAGAAGCATCAGGGAAGAGAGAGGTGAAGGTTTATAAACTAAAAGAGGAGGCAGTTAGGGTAAGATATAAACAGCTATTGGAGGATAGATGGGCTAATGAGAGCATAGGCAATGGGGTCGAAGAGGTATGGGGTAGGTTTAAAAATGTAGTGTTAGAGTGTTCAGCAGAAGTTTGTGGTTACAGGAAAGTGGGTGTGGGAGGGAAGAGGAGCGATTGGTGGAATGATGATGTAAAGAGTAGTAAGGGAGAAAAAGTTAGCATATGAGAAGTTTTTACAAAGTAGAAGTGATGCAAGGAGGGAAGAGTATATAAAGAAAAAGAGAGAGGTTAAGAGAGTGGTGAAGCAATGTAAAAAGAGAGCAAATGAGAGAGTGGGTGAGATCTTATCAACAAATTTTGTTGAAAATAAGAAAAAGTTTGGAGTGAGATTAACAAGTTAAGGAAGCCTAGAGAACAAATGGATTTGTCAGTTAAAAATAGGAGAGGAGAGTTATTAAATGGAGAGTTAGAGGTATTGGGAAGATGGAGGGAATATTTTGAGGAATTGTTAAATGTTGATGAAGATAGGGAAGCTGTGATTTCGTGTATAGGGCAAGGAGGAATAACATCTTGTAGGAGTGAGGAAGAGCCAGTTGTGAGTGTGGGGGAAGTTCGTGAGGCAGTAGATAAAATGAAAGGGGGTAAGGCAGCCGGGATTGATGGGATAAAGATAGAAATGTTAAAAGCAGGTGGGGATATAGTTTTGTAGTGGTTGGTGCAATTATTTAATAAATGTATGGAAGAGGGTAAGGTACCTAGGGATTGGCAGAGAGCATGCATAGTTCCTTTGTATAAAGGCAAAGGGGACAAAAGAGAGTGCAAAATTTATAGGGGGATAAGTCTGTTGAGTATACCTGGTAAAGTGTATGGTAGAGTTATTATTGAAAGAATTAAGAGTAAGACGGAGAATAGGATAGCAGATGAACAAGGAGGCTTTAGGAAAGGTAGGGGGTGTGTGGACCAGGTGTTTACAGTGAAACATATAAGTGAACAGTATTTAGATAAGGCTAAAGAGGTCTTTGTGGCATTTATGGATTTGGAAAAGGTGTATGACAGGGTGGATAGGGGGGCAATGTGGCAGATGTTGCAGGTGTATGGTGTAGGAGGTAGGTTACTGAAAGCAGTGAAGAGTTTTTACAAGGATAGTGAGGCTCAAGTTAGAGTATGTAGGAAAGAGGGAAATTATTTCCCAGTAAAAGTAGGCCTTAGACAAGGATGTGTGATGTCACCGTGGTTGTTTAATATATTTATAGATGGGGTTGTAAGAGAAGTAAATGCGAGGGCCTTGGCAAGAGGCGTGGAGTTAAAA